AGAACTTTCCTTGAGCAAAGCATAGGAGTAATTTAGAGTCTGACAGGCAATCTCTTCTCACACTGAATTGTCAACCTCATAGAGAACTTTTTGGGGAGATATGATACCAGAAATAATCAAGCTTGAAGGTGATAAATAATCTGAAGTCCACACTGGCAACCAAAAAAACAGCTTGTGTTTGGGCTTTCAGACATGTAGAAAGAATACCTGTGCTGTGYAAGCAGCTGGGTGGCATAGCTTTAATTAAAGAATCTAATTTATTTCCTCAACCTTCTTTATGCTGTTCTGGGGATTAATGTAATGTTTATTTTTCCAGTCACATACAGAAATAACAGGATTAGAATATGCCTAAGCTTCAAACAATGCAAAGCTACTCTTTTCAAYGAAAGAAAACTCTTCTGTGCTCTCAAAATAAGATGTGTATCTGACTTAGCAGACCAGATATTTGGGATAATTATTTTATGTTAAACATCCATGCACAGATACATCCACCAGGTTGGAATTACACAGCTATGCAGTGCTATTTTCTGCTGCTGTTAAACAGACAAGTTCATGGCTTGACTCACAGTTAAAGTCAGTCACGAGGAATCTTCAGAGTCTGAGATCAGGATGATTTTCTTCGTTTTCTTTTGCTTTATACTTTAAAAGAAAAAAAATATACATTTTTCCTTGACCTTGAAATGAAATGAAAAAGCCTCTACTAAGTTTTGATGAGCACATATTAGATAAAGACATTCATGTCACTGAATTGAAAGCATACTTCAGTCTCTTGTGTGCCTTTCCCCTAGAAAGGTTCAGAGATCAGAGGTATTTCTGACTTATAATATAATCCTTTACACTTCACTTTTAGATATCGTTTAACCTTTCAGTAAATGTTCCCAATGGCCGTGCTTGTTCTCCTGATCTGTTTTTCAAGAAGCAGAGCCAGTTTTGTGGTTTGTTATATGTAACTCTGAGAGACTAGGTCAGATAAAGTATTATTGAATGATTAGGAAAATAGAATAGGCAAATGTTCTTTAACGGAAGAGCCATACATAACTGTGGCTATAAAAGCATTGATTTTTTTTGTTTGATTGCAGTATGTTCTGCATGAAGTTGCTTTGTCATAGATTCTGCCTCACTTAAGAGAGTGTAATTAGAGTAGTGTGTCACCTATAAAGATAAACAGACAGTTATTTCATTGTTAAAGTTCTCCATTCTCATAGGGTAAGAAGGTTGACTGCATCTGTGTTCAGAAATATGAAAATATCTTCTTCCTAATGATAATGTCTATAGATGTCATCTGTACATCTATCTATCCAACAGATTGAAAGAAATAGAAATGTGTTGAGAAGTACAGCTATCACAAGGATGTATAGCATAGACGCACTTGACAAAGCCTGTTCTAACCCAAAGTTCTTTTCTGAATCATTCAAAAATATGAGCACATATTTAGCATCAACAAGTTTCTATCTGCTCCTCAGTTGGAGAGACTGAATTCATTCCAGCAATTTCAAATTAGAAAAGAATTATTGAAACCAATTAGTGAAACCATGAACCTCTACTGTACTTGAAATTGGCTATTCCCCAAGTTCAGGCCTTTTTTACTGGTATTTATTTTCTTACTGGTGTTTTATTTTTCACTTTATTGAGCCAACCTTTTTAATGATCTTGGRAAATCTGTTTGAGRTAACATTTAGTRTGTCATCCATGTKMATTSCTAAAACACTTTCTGAAAATCTCTGTGTGCTTTAGCTTGCCATCTTTTTCTGATACCCTGCTGCTCAGGCCTTGCAGGCACTCACTGGCTGCACAGAACAGAGAACTGCTTTGCAAATGGTGAYAGACCTGATAGTGTGAGGACACAATGCAGAGGGGAAGCAACACCTGCAAGAGCTGGTGATCAGAAGGGGTTTGGAGACATCAAAGAAATTTAGAAACTAACCAAAAGCCTGCCATTGTGAGAGGAGAGGAGAGGAGAGGAAATAGAGACAATGGCGAGGTGAGAGGGGACTCTTCACAGAGAGTGGAGGGGAGAATTTGCATATTTTTCCTGATTCAGTGGAAAATGATCTGTCCAAATTTAAGAGTACTATCACCAATTTTCTATTGTAATCAACATCAGAGGAATGTCAGTTAGCTAAGTCTTTTTTCATTGCCCGACACTGTTTAAACCCTTTTACATGCCACATCAGTTATTAGTACCTTTTAAAAGTTCTTTCTTATAGTCCAGACTAASGTTGCTTGAGGAAATTTGATTTTAYCATCCAGAAGMCCTGCATCCTCCCAYTTTACCCAGCTATAATAAGATCACCTGCAGCTTTCCTTCATTTTGCATGGGAAACTCTCTGCAAGCAAAAGGTATAAATGCAAAACCTGCAGCTTCAGATTCAAAGCTTACTGGTCTTTGCCAATAAATTTCCCTGTTATTCCCATTATTCTCAAGACAAGATAGTTAAACTCTGGCCAGGGAGTTTGCTGTTGCCATGAAATGGGTCAAGAACAGCTCTGAAGCAGTAGTGGTGATACACCTTGCTTTGCCCCATGCACAGCTTCAGCCTCGTTGGTGCMGTGAGATGCCTTTCTCATGCTCACCAAGAAATGTTCTTTTGGAAAGGCAAGAGGAGATTTTGTCAGTAGTTGTCACAGAACTCATGACAATACCACGCTCAGTGAATAAAAGAGGGAACAAAATCAAGTGTTGGTCCAAACAGAGATCTTTACATGTGGGGGAAATGTTGATATTTCTAAACAGCTCTTTTATGCTGTCAAATTTTAGGGGTTCAGACATGTTAAAAATTTAGCTTTACACTCGTACGAGCACTTTTGATAGAGTCTTCTTATATTTTAAGTCCACTAAGAAGAAATATTATTGCTTTATTTCTATGTTGTATGGAATTTAAAAAATATTTATTGTAGAATGGAGATATTACAACAAAAAGGGTAGATACTCTGATAAAACGCTGCTATATGTGGGCATCTGCTGTTTCAGAAGTGACCCAAATAAAAACTAAAATATATCCCCAAAAGCTTTTAGATGTGGTAAGGTAAAAATTACTTCATTAATTCCATGTAATTAGTGAAAAATTATCAAAAATAATATAAATTARAAAGCAACTAAGCAAGAAATGTTTAAAGACACTTCAGGGTTGAATACTTACTGTTGGAATATTAATTGAAAGGAATACTGTATTGTGAAAATTAGTTTTAAGAGCTCCAAGTAAATGAAAAAAAAAAAAAGTGTTAACCCACAGAATATTTTAATAGGAGGTTTGAAAGTTCTTGTTTAATTACTATATGCTCAACAGCAGTTCATTTTGAAAAATGCTCAGCTAGCTGGGATGAACTCCTCTTTTACCACTGTAAATCACATTAACTGCAAATCGTGCCACTTAATAAATTGTTTCTAAATTCTGGTACATCTGCTAGCTTGGGAGCAGACTGTAGT